GCTAGGGTCTGACAGTGCTTCTGTGGGCATTATTTCCATTATGAGACCAACAGGAGCCTGGAAGGATAGTTTGGTGTTTTTTAAACACAAAGCTTCACACATGAATGGCTGATTTTTCCTTACATGTAAATTTTCTGAATGTTCTTGGAATATGAAAATCACTGTGGTGTTTCCATTATTATAATTTTTATCACAAAAAATTACATCAGACCAGTGCACGACTTCTGCAAAGCTCTGTAACAGCTGGAATTAAACGAGTCATAGCAGAAGAGCCACATAGTGGGTGCCCTTTTAAATACAGAGCACCAAAGAAATCTCCTGTGAGTGCTGCACTTTGATCTTCAAAAGCATTTTAACCTCCTATCAGTGAATTCCATCACTGCTCTGAATGCCTGAGCATTAAAAAGAAGCACTTGTGCATTTACACCTTTACATTTGCCCATTTAATGTTTTTTCATTCAGTGTTATTAACCAATCATATGCAACATTATTTCTCTTTTCTCTTTTTTTTTCTTTTTGTTGTAGGAGTGGCAGATGTTTGGTTCCATCCCCATGCAGCCATCTCAACAGAAGGATGTTTTTGCTCACTACCTTTCTAATTATCAGGAGGTGAATATATCTCCTTGTTTTAAAAAAAACAATGTCTTTTAGTTAGTATAGGTCATGATGATTTCTCGCTTTTATCTTCTTTCTGCACAAGAGGGCAGACTTTTTATTGACCTAGTGAGGGTGAAATGCTCATCTGGCTTATCTGCTTTAAAAAAAAATGGCTTCATGTTTAAAATTAATTCTGTTATTTCACTTAATATAAGCAGATCCCTGTTGTGCAAAGATTTGTAAGCAGTGTGGAAAAAAATTGCTATGAATTTACACAGCCTGGAGTTCCAGATTACCCTTATAAATGAGAAGCTTGGTTTCCATGGCATCCCTCAAATGTCAGTGTCTGTTTACACACTGGGTACCCAAATGATTGCAGTTACAAAATTGCTTTAATTCTTACAGCTGGAAATGTTACTTTGTACAGTATAATACTAATTCTTTTTGGTTTTGTGAATGATTTCTCTGCAGCCGAGTCCAAAATCCAGCAGCAAAAGGGCTGCTCCTCAGTCAAAGTCTCGTCATTCCAAACGACCAAGAGAAGACACTTCAGAGGTAGCAGCAGCTGACATGGACCTGGACTCTGGTACAGTCACTCTGATTTTTGTTTTTCCTAGTTTCAAATTTTATTTTCAAAATAACTTGCTCTGAGTTGAAATGTGAGAGTTAAAAGGAGAAGCCAATGTGTTAGTATTTTGGTGGTAATTAAAGGCAGTGTTGACAGAACCAGCAGTGTCCTACTGCAGTGGCATTTGCTGTGATTGTCACTGTGGTTTTTATATCTTGTAATACTAAACAGGAGGTGTCAGGTGTGCTCAGAGCAATTGCAATGTTAAGTTAAAAATTCTGACCTCTTTACTCCAGGAGCATCCTAAAGAAACTTCTGTTAAGACCCCCAAATCCCTAAATATTTGGATGAAATAACATAAATTTGCAAGCTTACAGCTTCTTAAAAATGAGGCAAACTCTAAGGAGGATTCAGTGTTAAGTGTTAGAACAGCTGGAGAAACTTCTGGCTTTCCTTTTGAAATCTGCCATGAGGAATCCTTCAGTGTGTCTCGGAGTGGAATGGGTTTGTTCTTAATAACTTCAAAAGTAATTTTTTTTCTTGAATGGCTGGCAGAGTTAAAATCTCAGAAAAGATAGCTTTGGTGGATACGAAACGCCTCACAAAGCCTGTTCTGTCTCAGCTGAAAACCAAGGATGAGAAAACATAAATCTGGTAGTTAATCAGAACACTGGCACTTTGAATCTTGTCCTAGTCAGATTTCAGGTTCTCAAAGGTGTCTTTTAATCTCTTTGTAGATCTGGAAGGAGCACAGAGATCTCAAACTCCCAACAGTTTTCAATTCCAACCTCCTTTGCCACCTGGATCTCCATCCATGTCCACTCCTCCACCTGTGCCCCGAGGAACACCCCCACTCACACCCCCTCAGCCTTCCACACCCACCCACTCTCCCCTCCCTAGGACTACCCCACCACCAAACTCTGCCAGTGACAGTCCTCAGCCCAAAATAGTGGACTCAGTGATGGATGAGGACACACTGACCCTGGAGGAGCTGGAGGAGCAGCAGAGGTTAATCTGGGCAGCGCTGGAGCAGGCAGAGAGCACAAACAGTGACTCTGATATTCCTGTTGACACACCTTTAACTGGGAATTCCCTGACATCATCACCAGCCAGGAATGAAGCAGATCTCGTTGCAGAAGTCAGGTCACCTGAGAAAGTGATCTCAGTGGAAACAGAGTTTTCTGACGTCAGTGAGCAGATCCCAGAAAATGAACGTTCTCTAACCAGTCCCAATCTAGAGGAAAGTTTGCTTGACTTAAAGGAAAATCCTGATAATGCAGTTTCTGAAGGCCTGCTGGATGACACCCTGCCTGCTGCCAACCCTGAGGTTAATGAGGAGGAAAACACAGGTGGTAATAAAGTGCCCACAAGCACTGGATCATCTGTGAAAAAATCTGGACTTGTTCCTGACATGAGCAAGTTTGCTGCAGGCATCACACCATTTGAGTTTGAAAATATGGCAGAATCAACTGGGGTTTATCTACGGATAAGAAGCCTGTTAAAAAATTCCCCAAGGAACCAGCAAAAGAAAAAGACTTAAATCTTAACTGGTCTTTTGTTTTCTTATATCCAAATCCCTTCTGTTTCCCCACCAGTTTTACAAATTCAGATAATCTCCCTCACCTTATCGAAAAGAGAAAATCTTGACAAATGCAGGTCTGCCCTATTCTTCCTTGGTATTGAAGTCAGTGCAGGTTTCCATCTTGACCAGGACCACCAATGCAGCCAGAAAATGTAGAATTTTCCCAAATTGCAAGCTTCCACTGAGGAATAACAGGACTGATGATTTGTTAAGACCATTTTATTTGCCAATACTCGAGACTCTAAAATGCAGAGTTTGTGGTTTGGTGTTCATTATTTTGGCTAAGTTTTATATTGTCCTTGAGTTTCAGGTGGATTGGTGATTTTTTTAATATCTGTCCTTTGTACAATAATCTATACTTTCTACATTTTGCTAATTATCCTGTAGATAAGTTTAATATATTCTGAATGTTTTTAAAAAGGTCTGATGTTAAGATTTCCCACATCGAAGTCCTGACAATTGGAAGAAAATAATTGGGGATTACAGTGCTATTTTCACCATTTCAAGTATTTTTATAAATTATTTATGTGGGTCTGTTTTAATTGCCACTGTATCTTTTGTAGCATCGTCCTTCATGTAAACTTGCTGTACAGACATGTTCGTGGTTGTCTACAGAGGTTTAATAAATGAGCTTTTAGCTAAAGAGCTTTTAATTGGAGTCCTGAAGCAGCAAAATGCTGGTTTTTGAAAATCAGCTGCTGAAGAAAATTGGGAAAACAAGCTGAGCAAAATGTGAGTGAGTACAGTGAAATAGTTTAGGAAGGGGTGCAACTGTCAGCTTCAGGTTTTCTTAATCAAGAAACTGTTAAAATTATCTTAGCTACTTAAACAGAGCCTTGCCATACCATTCCGTTTTCATAATCTGAAGAGCTGCCCACTTCTGAATGCTTAGAAATGTTATAATCATGCTGATGAATTGTTGTAACTTTTTTCTTCCTTCTTGTCTCGGGAGGGAGCTGTGGCTGCAGCGACTGCACCTTGTTCAGTTGCCAAGAGAGGGAGCACTAGATTGATGTAAGCATTTGTCCTTCCAGAAATGCAGGAAGAGTCTCCCCAGCCACGTGTAAAGCAGAGTAAACCAAAGCATTTTCAAGTATCTAACAAAAAAAATTGTGAAAGGGAATGTCTGTAAGATAATGTTAGAGAGTGAACTTAATTCTTTCAAATTCTCAGCTTTGCAGTTAGTGCATGTTGCCCAAAGATCTTTAACATACATGATACTCTGCATTTGAATCTCAATGAGAACCCCAGGCTTTTTGCAGTTAAAGCCTTTATTTATTTACCTTTTTTTTCTCCCTAAACTTTACAGGAAGGCAAAACCAAAGCACCTTTATGTGTGAATTCTGAGAGGCTGAAAAATCTTTTTGCAGCATTTACCAGTTGAGTTTATTTGGTTGCACTTGGAAAGCAAGTCAAGGTAAATGTTCATCATATGTTCTAAAATGAATGGCTTTTTTCTTCCTAGTTTATAGGAGAAATAGTATTTTTATAACATGAGTGAACAACAGAATAATGTGCTGTTTCCACCTTCTACACACATTTAAAGAAAGCTCTGTTGGGAAGCATATGGAGGTGTGGCACTTTTTCCTCCTGCTTCCATGGAGTTAAAAGCCTTTAATGACAGTTTACAGGAGCCTTTGTGTGCTGCCTCATTGCCACGTGGATGATAAAGGGATGCAGGGCAGGAGGTGATGATTGCCAGTGCACACCTTCTGGGTGTGTTGTGCTGCTCATATTTGAAACATGCAGTTCTCTCACCACACCTTAAAGATCTGTTTTTAATGGCTCTTAGGAAATGCTGCTGCTTGAGTAGGACATGCAGCCTAAACTAGAGGAGTGCTGATGGTTTCTGTGAGCAAAGCAGAAGAGCACACAAGATAAAAATCTTCTTTATGTGCTTAAAACCTTTCAGTGCTCTGTATGGTGCATGTTCAGTCACCATTCTACATAATTAATTGGTCACAACAGATAAGCAAAACAGTTGTGTCTAAAGTATTTTCATTTGTTATTCTTTTATCTTTCAAACTGCCATGTTATAAATGTTCCTGTAATGCTTATTTTATATCTTAAAATAATATTTTTATGATATGTTTTGATCTTAGAAAAGCAGGCAGGGACTGTTTAATTTCTGGATTTAATTTTAGTAATTTAATTTCAAATAAGGATAAATCATACAAAATTCCCTGAGAGCACTCAGGGGTATCTTTTAAATTATTCTTTTAAATCTTCTCCTTGGAATTGTCCTTTCTTTGGAGGTGGCAGTCAGCATGGATAGTGCTGTGAGAAAACTGAACCAGTAAGTAAAACTCCTCCTGTATTTACTTCTGCTGTAAGACACAGTTAATTAGGGATGGGGAGTTATCTCTGCTGCTTCTCTCATGATGAGGAATTCATTCCTCTGCATCTCTTAGCTATTTTTTATCTATAATTCACTGTTCTGTCAAGTGCTACACATTGTTGCACTGAAGATGTTTGTAATTAGTGAGGTTTTTAATATGTCAGCTGTAACCACTCAAATGGGTTTTGTATATTGAAACTGCAATCAGATCACACTCTTAAGTCCAAAGGAAAAGCTGAATAGCAAAGTATTTTGGGTCCTTTTAAGTGCCATTCCCATGGTGATGGGTGTGGCATAATAACCTAGATTAGAGCTTACTAAAATGAATGAGTAATAAAATCTGTAATGAGGTGGGTATAGCATGAGCAGGCATCACTCAAATTTTCCCACAGATTCCTGTTGGCATAGTCCTCGTGTTTATTTACAGCACTTGGAACACCAAAAATATTTTTAAATGCTCATGCACGTCTAAAAAATCAAATCTCTGCAAAATATTCGGAGTATCAGTCAGGTGGGAAGTTGTGTCCTAAAAAGATCCAAATTTCTGACTCTTAAATTTTTATAACCCAATTCACAGCGCTCAAAACGTCAAGAAAAGAGAAACAGCTGAGATTCTAGAAGATATCTGAAAGACGTGGTAGCTGCTAAAAATAATTATTTCACTGCAAGCTCTGTGAGGCAGCATAGCTGGGGAAAAAAAAAAAAAAAGAAAAAGAGAAATGAAGAGGAGGAAAAAGCTCCAATCTAATCCAAGTGTTTCAGTTGCCATGGAAGCCCGTAGCACCTTCATTCTGTGCCATGGCTGTGCTGCCCCTGGGAAGGGAAGGGAATGCCACTCAAGATTGATGCTGTTCCTAAGAATACAGTGCAGAGTCATTGCTACATTTTGGGGGGTGGGAGGGGATGAGTCAGAAGGAGGAATTGGTCGTGATTCCTGGAGTAGCTTTTAGAAAACAGGATGGATTTAATAGCCTGGTAATTACTGTGTGACAATTGGACACTTCCTAGACTTCAGACAACTACAGCAGCAGAGATGTTACATAAGGTTTTTTGCAACATGTGTTTAGTTGTCACCCATGACTGAATGAACATTTATTTACCCCTTCTTTAGAATTCAGCACTCGATAGGAACAAAATCCTTCTGCTTTGCTTCGCTGTAGGTGAGAATTCAGCTTTTATTGCTATTTACATAAGTGCTAGAATGATTTGCATCTTTATTAATAGACTGGTTCCTCAGTTATCAGGGAAATGAAACACTCATCAAGAGGAACATTATTGTTAATTTAAGTATCTTGTTTAAACCAGAATGCAGAAAGGATTCTTTTTTAATTTGTTCAAATACTGCTCTCCATTGTTTTACCCATGTTAGAGTAGAACAAATAATGTAAAATTGGATGACAGCTTGTCTTGAGTAGCTCACCAAAGAACATGGGTTTGAAGAGCTTTTTCTTTTATTGCTGCTGGGTAGTCTGGCTGACCTGGGGAAGGGAAGCAGTAAGTACATTAGCAGTGAAAAGACTTCTTGCAGCCTTTACAGAAAAACTACAGAAAATAGTGCAAGTGCTGGGGTTTTTGAAGCAGCACTTCTGAGATTAAAAAAAAAAAAAAAGCAATTAGCTGCCTTTTCTGTAGCAGATGTGACCACCAGTTCTGTATAGGAATTGCCAGATGTGCATATTGAAGAGATCGTTCAGATGGAAAAAAAAATCTTTACTCAGAATTCTCATACTTGGGTGGGTGAATACATCCCATTGAATAGAAAATGGATTTCTTCTGTCAAGAGATCCTTACATTCAGTTCTTAAGGAACAACATTTTAGCTCTTTAGAAAGCTTCAACAACCTTGGAGCCGTCACAAATCTGAAAAAGTGCAGAAACAGCTGCAACTGGTGTTCCCACATTATTGAGAATTCTAATTTTGAAGTGAGCCTTGTACTTGGGGCCAGGATGCCAGTAGTTATGTTGGCATCCTGAATTTCTCTGGAGCATCCAGCAATTCCTGTTCTCATGGAATTATGAAAATGCCTATATATTATTTGTTGACTGATCTGATCATGCAGATCAGAAAACAGCTACCAGGACTGGAATCAAAGATATTCTGGCTTTCAGTCATAGCCAATCCTGTGCAGGAGTGTGGTTTATAGTACCAGGATCTTTTATTACAATGATTCCTACAAATTGGCTGTGCCCTTCGGGTGCAGACTGGTACAGAGAGGCTGTCAGCCATTTCCACCTGGGAGGAACTGAAGCTGCAGTTGCTCCAAAGCTACATTTTCATGGTATGAAGTTGATTCTGGTCAAAGAATGGATAACAAAATCTCTTTTTTTCCTACAGGACTACAGGATCTTGAAGCTGAGTCTGTTCAGTAGGAAATTACTGGAAAAATAGTGGCACATTCCCTTGATCTGTGTGACATTCTCAGTTCTTGCCTTCATCCAGGATATTTTTACCATAACCTTGCAAGGGAGTGAAGCATACTATTTACAGATTTAAATATATTTTATCCATTATTTCCCCACTGTTACTGCACCCACATGATGACAAGTTCTACAATAACAGCACAGAGTTGCAACTTCTAGTTTTCATCTTTAAGCTGTCTTGTAGTTGCTGTGCTGTGTCCTAGATGCATCAGTCTGATATTGCTTATACAACTTTAATGCTGTGTGCACTGAACTGCAAGCATTTGAGATAGACTTAATGGTGGCAAATTAACTGAGAGACAAAACATCAAATTAATGATGGAGAGTGATAGATACACTTAAGAGAAAAACCCATTCTACGTTAGCATCAGATCAGTACGGAGAGCTCAAATCTGCACCACCAGAAAGAGACACAGAAGTTCACCACTGCAGCTCTCAAGCCAGCAGATATTTGAGGCAAGTGTTCTGTAAAGTTAGTACAACTCTCCAGTTTCTACCCTTATTGCAATTTTTGTGGGATTGTTTCCCTAGCTAGGGGCTGCAGGGTCATTTTTTAAAAAAGCAATCCTTTGCTGGCTCTGCACTTCTGAATACAACCCAATGTTTAAATCCTGAAGTCCTTATTCAGCGAAACTTTTATCAAATTTTGCAGGGAGAAAGAGGGGTGCCTGTACATGGATTCAAATTCTGTTTCACCATATACTGGCCATGGCAAGAGATTGTGTTTAACGTTTAGGAAGTGAAATTCTAACAAACATTGCTAAATGCTGATGTAGTTGAAACCTGTTATTTGGGGGAGTGCATCACACCATTTTGTGCTTTACCATGCTGGATTAATGCCAAAGAACGAAGCCAAAATGAAACACAAATTGTAATCAGTCTCCAGCAATGGAACTGCTTTCTCATCACCCTTTTGTTCGAATGGCATCATGCAGAAACCCAACAAGCTATGAGACTGCAAACAGGTTTGCTTTGTGAGGAATTCAGCGGTGATGGGCCAGCTCTGGCTGGGCTCCACTGCCTGTTTATAACAGGGGAAGAACTGGAGCAGAGCTGTTTGATTCAGCCTTGAAAATCGGTATTAAATTGTTGATGATGGCGTAGGAGCTGCTGCTCCAGCTGTTTGAACTTTAGCAGAGGGATAACGCCAGCTTCCAATGTGTTGCTTCACAAACACAATGAAAATAAAAAATATTCAGTACTTTGGGATAATAAATTTCTGCATGATGAATTTCTGGGCAGCAGGACAAAAGGAAAATGGAGCGAAGCAGCAGACAGTGAAGTTATTCACCCACTAGAGCGATGTGCTTCACACCTCCCCGTCTGTGCCCACCCTCTCCCCCTCCCACCCAGCCGGGCTGTGCCGCAGCGGCGGCTCCGGGACCACCGGGCGCGGCGGGGTCACCCCGAGCCGGGGCACAGCCGCTCCCTCCCCCGAGCTGCGGCTGCCGCGGGGCGAACAAAGCGGGGGGCGGACAAAGAGAGAGGAGGGGGCGCGGGGAGCTCGGGGGCACCGCCGGTGCCGCTGCCGCTGGTGCAGTCCCCGCCCCGGCGGGCGCAGACGTTGTGCCCGCCCCGCTCCGCCTCCTGCGAGCCGGGGCGGCGCCGCTGCAGAGGGGCCGCGGGAGCAGGAACAGGAGCGGGAGCAGCAGCCGGAGGAGGCGGCGGGAGCTGCGCTGGCGGCGGGGCCGGTGAGGCGGCGGAGCCGGCGGTGGGGGGGCCGCCCTGAGGAGCGCGCGGGGCGACGGCGGCGCCTGAGGGCGGAGGGAGCCGCGTCCGCCGCCTCCCGCCTCGGGGCCTCCGCGCTTCCCGTCCGGGCGCCGCGCTGGGCGGGTCTGAGGGCGCGGGGGTCGGTGCCGAGGGGCCGTGAGGGGCAGCGGCGGGGCCGTGAGGGGCGGCGGCGGGCCGGGCCCCGGCGCTGAGGGCTGTTAGCGGCCGCCGCACGTGCTGCCCGCGCCGCCCCGCAGCGACCGCTCCGGCGGGGGCCCGGCCGAACCCCGGCGGGACGGGGCGCTGCGGACGCGGGGCAGGCGCGGAGCAGCAGCGGGACGGCCTCGTCCCCCTCAGCCTCCGGCGTGGTTGTCCGGAGCGGGGACACGAAGGTTGGATCGCAGCCTCTGCTGGAGTCTCGCTGAGGGAAGCTGCGGCGCTGTGCTGGCTTAGTGGTGGCTTGAGCGGCTGATTCTGAGGGAAGAGGTCTGGGTATTCCTTATATCTCTTGATAAGCGCTGACCTGCAATTCCCTACATTTACATACGGATATTTTACTAATAATCTACCTTTGGATTTGTGGATTTATTTTTATGGCCGCTGCCCATCCTCGCGTTGTTATAAAATCTCCTGGTTTCCAGGTGAGCTGCTCTGGCATCCCCTCAGGTGGCTCAGGAGAGTTCGCTGCCATGTTCCAGGCAGTGTGGGAGCTGCGGGATTCCCAGGCACAGGCGCTGCTCCAGGCCCCTCCTGTTCCCGCTATAGTGCTGTACCTCAGGCGATGCAGTGCTCCCTTTTCTGTGCCATAGCTGTCATGGGGCACAAGGTAATTGGTACTGTTACTCACAGGGTAATGTGGCTCCTGCTGCATAAGAAAATCAGCAGTTAGTTTTCCCTTTCATCTTGGTTTGGATTCTGTGCTTTAAATAATTTTTCAAAATATAAACAAACAAAAGCCAACACCAAAGAAATTTTCCAAAATAGAGCTCGGGGAGGAAAATTTACTCTGTGATTGTATATGTTGATGATTAAAAATATGACTGTGTAATGAAGACTTGTTCCTCCCCACCCCTTCATTTACCCACTGTGCTGAATGGGCAGGGTTTTATAGAAGTTCACAGGTTGCTTTGAGATCTTTGAGCAGAAGGATTTTAAAACATGTGATACTTGTGTTGACACGTAGGAAGAAGAAAGGAAAAGAGGTACAAAAGAGGAAGTGCCTCGATGCTGGCTGCTTTGCAAAGAAAGAACAGAAATATGCATTCTGAATGCAATTCTTTATTGAAAGTACAGAAATGTGCACTCTGAATGCAATGTAAATTTGAAACTAGCAACGGCAGAGAGTGGTTTTCCTGAAGTGTGTCCCTGTGCACCTGCTGCAGGAGTAGGAAGATTGCAAAGTAGATACTGTGAAGGAAAAGTAAACACCTCCCCTCCACCCACAGCAGCATTTCTTATTCTAAGGAAAGTTTAACTGTTCATCTTTTACATGCTGAGGGTTGTTAGCTCTTGTTGAAAAATGACAAGATGTCAAGGTTCTTTTCCTGCCCAGTCCTTATATACATGCTGGGAGATTTTTTGTCTGTGCTTCAGTGCATTAAAGCTTTCTGTGTACTGAAGGGAGAGGGATGGGTTGTCTGAAGCAGAAAAGCTTGGAAATGTAACCTTAAATGTCCATATCTTTAGGGATCAAGAGGGAGATTTTATTTGGCAAAAAAGAGTTTTACATAATTTGTATGGTTTCCCTTAAAGAGAAGATCTCAGCTTTCTAGGGAGGGCAGAACACCAGCTGTCTTGTAGGCTCATTCCAGATAAATTCTGTAGGGAATAGCAGCATCTTTGCTCGTGTGATTACACTGTAGGAAGGAGCAGTGCTCTCTCTGCTGATTGTTACAACTTCCTAGAGCTCCTGAAGATTTCCTGTCTGACTCTCAGGTTGTATCTGTTTGCCATCTTCTGACTGTGGATAGCCAAGACAGCCTTTATTTACTCAGCTTGGGCAGATTGCATAATTCCTTTAGTGTTCCTCCCTTTATCTTTTAGCCCTGTTAAAGTTTTTCTTGGGAGGGACTGAGGGTATATCAAAATAGATCCTCCTTAAAAAGAAATAGAGAGCTCTGCCTTGCCAATATGATTTTTCAGAGCTGCTTTTCTTTCTGTTTCTAAAACACTCGGGTCAAATGTTAACTCTGTATGTTGAATGCAAGATTTCTAATGTTTGAACATGACAGCCATGAATGAATGCAGCTCTTGTTTAATCCTTTGGCATTCCTTAGGGACTACTGGCTCTGCTGGCACATATAAAGAGTAACTCACTGGAATCCTTATTGGAGCAGCATGTTTGGAAATGCCTCAGATGGATGGTGTTTTGTTATTTCATGAAAGGCAATTATATACTGCATTAGCTGTAATCTCAGCTGCTCTCAGCCCCATGCCAGTTTCTGCTGGGGCAACCATTTCGTTGGTGTTGACCAGCAGAACTCTGTCAGCAGCTCCCTGATGGTTTAAACACCTCCTGCTTGTGCAGGTGTCTGCCCTCCACATCCCTTTGTTTTTGCAGAGTGAAGCTACACTCTCACTGACCCTTAGAAATACCCACAAATCTGGTACTGGCTCCTGGCCCCCAAAAGGCTGTGAAGGATTCAGGAGATGTATCTAAGGCCAGGCTGTACAAGTTTACGCTTTAACACCAACCTGAGTTTTTCCATGTGGAACATCTCATTAATTATTTGTACAAACTCATAAAAATAGTACCATACATTCTTTTAATTTATAAGATACATCTTCACTGTTTCCAGAAGTACCAGCATTAAAAGCTATTAATTTTCCCTGATCCTCATAATCTTACTGTCTATATTTTTAGCTTATTATGAGGGGAAATTGCAAGGCAGAGAGAGAAACTCAGTATTGTATAGAATCAGCTTATTTGACACTCATTCTGCTGCTCTGCTTGGCAGCAGCATCCACTCAATCACAGCAATATTTATCTAAGTTCCGAATTTGTGCTTCTCCTGAGCTCTCTGCCAGCCATGCAGCAGTCGTGGTGCTAATTTCAAAGGCTAAGCTATAAAGAGACAGCTGACTTGATGTTTTCACCCAGTGTGAAACAGTTACAGTTTCACCCAAGTCTATCAAAATTAAGTCCTTACTATAAAAAGCAGCATCTTTGTTTCAGCTGCTTCAGTTGTAATTGTGTTAGGGAGAAGCCTTTGTGCCTTTAAATGCTTTGGGGTTTGAGGCTGAAGGGAGATGGTATTTTCTTTCTCAGAATTGAAATTGTAGATCCTAAATAACTTAAACTTGAGACTCTGCTATTCCAAAGTCATCATTTTATCCTGATTGCACCTACTGGGATGACAGAAGTGCATTATCATCAACAGAAGTCAGTGTGGACAGTCAAACAAATTGTTCTTTCTCTTACTGAAATTTAAGTATTTGGAGAAAGACAAGAATTTCCTGGGAAAAATGTAAAAAAATTAGTGATGATAATGGGCTTACCAGAAGAGGTGGCAATTATTTACTTAGTTGGAAACTTTCTCTACACCTCAATCCTCGTCTCCTTCTGTAGGGAATGATGTGCTGGGAAGGGAGGATCATGTGCTTTCTGATCTTTTAATAGACCAGAGCAGCAATGTTTTTATAATCTGTGTGCACAGTGGCAACTTGAAGTGTTAGAGTTTGCATCATATTAACAATTATCAGCTCTTCCTGATTAATTAAAGATAGGCAGAATCTTTTTAAAAGGTCTGATCAGGCTGTGTTTGAAATAGCAATAGATTGAGAAAAAAATTACTCACTAATTGCTTGCCTAAAATAGTTTTTTAGACATCCTCTGATTTGTGCTTCATATTCAACAGTCTGTGTTTCAGTGTTTTTTTACTGAGGATCCTGAGGCATTTGGGAATCTGAATGAGCAGAGCAAGTTCTAGAATGTTCAAAGAGGGTGACTTAAAATGTCCTTGATGCAGAATTAAAATCCATAAGCAGAGCTGAAGCTTTGATGAATTACCTTCTTCATAGCAGTGCTCTAATATCTGACTGATGGTTTCAGGTCCTAAGCCTCTTACTATCTTTGATCTGATTCATCTCCTTAGAACAGTTTCTGAGTTAGAAGAATTCACCCCGCCTTTTCCCTTTCCCTGGCACGTGCTGGGACAATCCTGTTTATACAATTTGCAGCAAATATCCTGCACTTCCCAAGGTGGAAGAACAGCCTTGTATCTTATTTAGCAATTCCCTAAAACCAATTTTCAGTGGATTTGGGTCTCATAATGGTTGCCTTCCTAACTATATTAAGTTCAAGTTTTATATTATCTCCATGTAAACTGATAACCTGCTGCTGTCAAATATATTGATGGCAAATTTCCTTCAGAAATCAGTTGTTCTAAAGGTACTGGGAGAAACTCAAAACTCTTTAAACACAAGTCCCCCTCCTCCTGGTTCACCTGCTTCTGTGAAACTTGGAGGAA